AAAAAGCTGACAAAAAATCTTTGGACTCTTTTTTTAAATCAGTAATGAACATAGTTGATATACGTATTCAACATTTTAAAGAACATTTTACTCTTAACAATAACCACAATAAACCTATTTCTCGTATCAAACATAAACTAAAAGAACTAGCCAAGGAATTTGTTTTTGTCCTGGCCGATAAAGCTGCTAATAATATTATTATTGTTTGACGTAAATTTTACATTGAGGTTCTGAAAAAAGAAATCACCAATTCACCAACATTCCAACTGACTCCATTTTCAGAAAACGACATCTGTAACAAACATAAACTTTTAGCTACCGCTTTACAAGCAGAACCAAATACAATGAAAGTCCCAACTATGTATTGGCTTCCGAAGCTACACAAAACACCTTACAAATATAGATTCATTTCGTCTTCAAGCCATTGTTCCACTACTAAATTGTCTATTCTTCTTACCAGTACACTTGGTACAATCAAAAACCTGATAATAAATTGTTCAAATAAGGCCTTCGAAAATAGTGGAATTAATTACTTTTGGAGTGTCAAGAACTCGTTGGAAGTACTTGATAAATTGCATGCATATACTGGTGATTTTGAATCTGTTCAAAGTTTTGATTTTTCTACCCTATATACCACATTGCCTCACATTCTCATTAAGAAAAAATTCACACACCTAATTAAATGGGCATTTAAAAAGTCAGAATGTGAATATATATGTTCAAACTCTTTTAGGTCATTTTTTAGTAGCAATAAACAAAAAAACTATGTCAATTGGACATGCTTTGATACTATATATGCCCTTGATTTTTTACTAGATAACATTTTTGTTCGCTTTGGAGATTTCGTATATCGTCAGGTTATCGGAATTCCAATGGGGACTAACTGTGCACCACTTATTGCGGACCTTTTTTTGTATTGCTATGAGTTACAATTTATGACAAAAATCAGCAAAGACCCATCGAAACAACATCTGATACACAAATTTAATAATACTTTTAGATATTTGGATGATATTTTGGCTCTCAATAATGACGACTTCAGTATGTATACTAAAGAAATTTATCCTGTTGAACTTACTTTAAATAAAGCTAATACTTACAATGACCACTGCCCTTTCCTCGATCTTGATATCTATATCATTAACGGAAAGCTTAATACTAAAATATATGATAAAAGAGATGATTTTTCATTTCCTATCGTTAATTATCCATTTTTAGATGGTGACGTTCCCTTGTCACCATCTTACGGTGTTTATATATCTCAACTTGTACGATTCACTCGTGTATGTAACAATGTTTTAGATTTTAACGAGAGAAATTTATGTATTACTGAAAAATTTTTACACCAGGGTTTTCGATATCACAAACTTAAGTCAAAACATTTACTAAATTTTATCATCGGTATAAGGACATCATTCGTAAATATAGCTCAACATGCAGACTTCTTATATGTTCAGGTATTTCACATCCAATTTTTTATGGAAATATTCTTTATAAAGCACAAAAATGTCAGTATTCACCTCTGAAGCTAACAAAACCTTTAAATAGACTTATTAAGAAGGGATATAGTTACGATACTGTTGTGAGGTCATTAAAGATTGCATATTTTGGCGTTAATATTGATTCACTTATAGGGTCTTTGCATCGGCACTAAACACATTTATTTAATAAAATGCTCCGCAGGGCGCAGCTTGATACGACCGCAGAGGTCGAACCCTGAACAGTTGGGGGAAGTATGGACACAACATTCAAGCTTGATACAGCTTTGGATTTGGATTGTGATTAAATATTTGACACAGCATAGGTTTCTAACACAGATTGAATGTGGTCTAAGAACTTAAAAATTTTAAATTGGACATTCACCTATTATGGTCCAATATCCAAAATCTAAATACATGGTTAGATTCAGCATATCAAAGAACCCCAAGAATTCAATTTTTGATGAAATCAAACAAAGTTTAATTTTGGACCCTTTTGACCTCAATGTGGACAAAGTTGATAACGGGGCCCAAAAATCAAAAATCTAAATACATGGTTAGATTCAGCATATCAAAGAACCCCATATATTCAATTTTTGTTGAAATCAAACAAAGTTTAATTTTGGACCCCGATTTGGACCAACTTGAAAACTGGGCCCATAATCAAAAATCTAAATACATGTTTAGATTCAGCATATCAAAGAACCCTAAGAATTCAATTTTTGTTAAAATCAAACTAAGTTTAATTTTGGACCCTTTGGACCTTAATGTAGACCAATTTGAAAACGGAACCAAAATTTAAGAATCTAAATACACAGTTAGATTCGGCATATCAAAGAACCCCAATAATTCAATTTTTGATGAAATCAAACAAAGTTTAATTTTGGACCCTTTGGACCTCAATGTGGACCAATTTAAAAACGGGGCCCAAAATCCAAAAACTAAATACACGGTTAGATTCAGCATATTAAAGAACCCCATGAAATCAAGAATAAAACCCCATTGAAATTGGTCAAGAAATAAGCAATTTATAGGAAGTATCTTCTTTTGCACAATCCTGTGCTATTAAATATTTCTTGCTATTGCGCAATACTGTACAATTGACAATTTCTTGCTATTGCGCAATATTGTGCTATTGGATATTTCTTGCTATTGCGCAATACTGTGCAATTGAAGATTTCTTGCTATTGCGCAATACTGTGCAATTGAAGATTTCTTGCTATTGTGCAATACTGTGCAATTGAAAATTTCTTGCTATTGCACAATACTTATTATATAATAATTTACACATCCTGTTTGGTGTGTATCTCCTACCATATCATTATTATTTGATTTTAAATATAAATCAGAAATAACCAACTTAAAATGGAAAATTTTAAAAGAAACAAAAAAGGAAAAAAAGAAAAAAAAGGAAAAAAAAAATAAATCCCCCCCCAAAATTTTTTGAACCCCCATTATGATTCATCACCCCCAAACTCAATCCCAGCCTTCCCTTTGTGGTATGGTACCTTGCAGTACAATTTCAGAGAGATCCATACACTTGAACACAAGTTATTGTCTGGAAACTAGAAAAAAATGTGTTTTTTGGCCCCTTTTTGGCCCCAAATTCCAAAACGTTTAGGGCAATTACCCCCAAACTCAAACCCAGCTTTCCCTTTGTGATATGGAACCTTGTAGTACAATTTCAGAAAGATCCATACACTTACACAAAAGTTATTGTCATGAAACTAGAAAAATGCTTGTTTTTTGCCCCTTTTTTTGGCCCCTAATTCCTAAAATTTGGAGGCAATTACCCCCAAAATCAATCCCAGCATTCCTTTAGTGATATGGAACCTTGTGGTACAATGTCAGAGAGATCCATACACTAACACACAAGTTATGTCTGGAAGTTACAAAAATGCTTATTTTTGGCCCCTAATTCCTTTACTGTTATTACCATAACCCCCAAAATCAATCCCAACCTTCCTTTTGTGGTATTGAACCTTGTGGTAAAATTTCATAAAGATCCATTCACTTAAACTAAAGTTAGAGTGCGAAAACCAATGTGTCTTCGGACGACGACGACGACGCCGGACGACAACGACGACGACGCCCAACTTCATACCAATATACGACCACAAAATTTTTTTTGCGGTCGTATAAAAAACAGTTGTTGGCATGACACGGGTTATGTTGTTCTCATATATGTTATGATGGTATGATACTAAACCCCTAACGGGAAGGATTGTGCCTGATGTTCATATGATGAAGACATGATCTTTCAATCAGTTTAATTGAAGTCTGGAGCTGGCATGTCAGTTAACTGCTAGTAGTCTGTTGTTATTTATGTATTATTGTCATTTTGTTTATTTTCTTTGGTTACATCTTCTGACATCAGACTCGGACTTCTCTTGAACTGAATTTTAATGTGCGTATTGTTGTGCGTTTACTTTTCTACATTGGCTAGAGGTATAGGGGGAGGGTTGAGATCTCATAAACATGTTTAACCCCGCCACATTTTTGCGCCTGTCCCAAGTGAGGAGCCTCTAGCCTTTGTCAGTCTTGTATTATTTTTAATTTTAGTTTCTTGTGTACAATTTGGAGTTTAGTATGGCGTTCATTATCACTGAACTAGTATATATATTTGTTTAGGGGCCAGCTGAAGGACGCCTCCGGGTGCGGGAATTTCTCGCTGCATTGAAGACCTGTTGGTGACCTTCTGCTGTTGTCTGTTCTATGGTCGGGTTGTTGTCTCTTTGACACATTCCCCATTTCCATTCTCAATTTTACTTGAACGCAAGTTATTGTCTGGAAACTAGAAAAATGCTTGTTTTTTGGCCCAAATTCCTAAACATTTAGGGCAATAACCCCCAAACTCAAACCCAGCTTTCCCTTTGTCATATGGAACCTTGCAGTACAATTTCATAAAGATCCATACACTTACACACAAGTTATTGTCCTGAAACTAGAAAAATGCTTGTTTTTTTTTACCTTTTATGGCCCCTAATTCCTAAAATTTTGAGGGAATTACCCCCAAAATCAATCCCAGCCTTCCCTTTGTGGTATGGTACCTTGCGGTACAATTTCAGAGAGATCCATACACTTGAACACAAGTTATTGTCTGGAAACTAGAAAAATGCTTATTTTTGGCCCCTTATTTCTAAACGTTTTGGGCAATTACCCCCAAACTCAATTCCAGCTTTCCCTTTGTGATATGAAACCTTGTAGTACAATTTCATAAAGATCCATAAACTTACACACAAGTTATTGTCATGATACTAGAAAAATGCTTGTTTTTTTACCCTTTTTGGCCCCTTATTCCTAAAATTTGGAGGCAATTACCACCAAAATCAATCCCAGCATTCCCTTTGTGATATGGAACCTTGTGATACAATGTCAGAGAGATCCATAAACTTACACACAAGTTATTGTCATGAAATTAGAAAAATGCTTGTTTTTTGCCCCTTTTTGGCCCCTAATTCCTAAAATTTGGAGGCAATTACCCCCAAAATCAATCCAAGCATTCCCTTTGTGATATGGAACCTTGTGGTACAATGTCAGAGAGATCCATACACTTACACACATGTTATGTCTGGAAGTTACAAAAATGCTTATTGTTGGCCCCTAATTCCGTATCTGTTGGTACCATAACCCCCAAAATCAATCTCAACCTTCCTTTTGTGGTATTGAACCTTATGGTAAAATTTCATAGAGATCCATTCACTTAAACTAAAGTTAGAGTGCCAAAACCAATGTGTCTTCGAACGACGACGACGCCAACGTCATACCAATATACGACCGCAAAATTTTTTTGCGGTTGTATAAAAACTGCAAAATTTTGTTAAAACTACCAATTCAGTGGCAGCAACCCAACAATGGGTTGTTCGATTCGTCTGAAAATTTCAGAGTTGATAGATCTTGACCAATTGAACAACATTACCCCATGTCAGATTTGCTCTAAAAGCTTTAGTTTTTGAGATATAAGCCAAAAACTGCATTTGACCCCTATGTTCTATTTTTAGCCATGGCGGCCATGTTTGTCAATGGATCAAAACTTCGGATACAATTTATAAACTAGATACCCTAACATGCCTAAGGAACATTTAGTTAAAGTTTGAAGGTATTTGGCCCAGTAGTTTCAGAGGAGAAGATTTTTTAAATAGTTTACGAAGACAGAAGACGACTACAGACGATGACGACAGTCGACGGACGATGATGGACGCCAAGTGATGGCATAAGCTCACATGGGCCCCGGTGAGCTAAAAACCAGCAAAATACTTCTCTAAAATCAGATATGATGTTATATCTATTTCCATATTATAATCAAATTTAATTAATAGTTGCTAATATTGTTTCTTTCATGTGTCAAAAAATAATACAGATCTGCAACTTATCTATCAATGTCAAAAACTTTATCTCATAATAAAAATTCGTAAGGGTTCCGCGGAACCCAGTGTCTCGCCTACTTTTTCTGTTAATTGCAGGCTCAACAAAAATGAGGAAGTAAATCAATAAAAATATTCCTCTTGATACTATCTTTTGATTGTAAGAAGCTTCTGTCCAAGTTTGGTAAAAATCCAGGATAGTTTATAATTATGAATCTAATAAATGTTTAAAAACTTTAACTGCAGACTGAATGTAATGTTAACTGGAAGAAAACAAAATTTCCTTCTAGATACTAGCATTTGATCATAAACAAGCTTCTGTCCAAGTTTGGAACAAATCCAAAATAGTATAAGAAAGTTATTAAAATTCTAAAAACTTTAACGACAGAGTGAATGTGTTGTTTCCTGGCAGAAAATCTAAGTCCATTTAAAAGTAAAATACGGAAAAATTGGATTTATTTTTTTACAAAATTTCCTTCTAGATACCAGCTTTTGATAATAAACAAGTTTCTGTCCAAGTTTGGTACAAATCCAAAATAGTATAAGAAAGTTATTAAAATTTTAAAAACTTTAACCACAGAGTGAATGTGTTGTTTCCTGGCAGAAAATCTAAGTCCATTTAAAAGTAAAATAAGGAAAAAATGGATTTATTTTTTTACAAAATTTACTTCTGGATACTATCTTATGATCATAAACAAGCTTCTGTCCAAGTTTGGTACAAACCCAGGATAGTTTAAGAAAGTTATTAGAATTCTAAAAACTTTAACCACAGAGTGAATGTAATATTTCCCGGCAGAAAAACGAAGTCCATTTATAAGTAAAATACGGAAAAAATGGAATTTTATTTTTACAAAATTTACTTCTGGATACTATCTTATGATCATAAACAAGCTTCTGTCCAAGTTTGGTAGAAATCCAGGATAGTTTATGAAAGTTATTAAAATTTCAAAAACTTTAACCACAGAGTGAATATTTGTGGACGCCGCCGACGTCAACGACGACGGAATGTAGGATCGCTATGTCTCGCTTTTTTGACTAAAGTCGAAGGCTCGACAAAAATAGATTATCTAATTATAAACAAGTTTAGATTCAGCACTTAAAGAACCCTATATATATTTAATTTATGTTCAAATATAACACACACAAACTGATTAATTTTCCCAGGGGACCTGCCCTTTATTTCATGATTTGTTTTTTTGTCCCATACAAGGATATCTATGGTTTAGGGTCGGGGATCTCGACCATTTACAAGTTCTTAAACAGGAAGAAGGTGGGAATGACCCCAAGGAACTCGCCTTTTATTTCATTCAATTTGTTTTATTGTAACATACAAGAATATATATGGTTTCTAGGTGGGGATCTTGACTGTTTACAAGTTTTCAAAAAAAAGGAGAGTAGGGGTTACCCCAGGGGACATCCCCTAAATTTCATTTGATTTGTTTTATTGTCCCAAAAAAGATTATATATGGTTTAGGGGTGGGGATCTCAACCGTTTACAAGTTTTCAAAAAGAAGGGGGTGGGGTTGACCCTCGTGGACTTCCCCTAAATTTTATTTGATTTGTTTTATTGTCAAATACAAGAATAAATATGGTTTAGGGGTGGGGATCTCAACCGTTTACAATTTCTCAAACAGAAGGGGGTGGGGGGTTACCACAATGGACTTCCCCTATATTTCATTTGATTTCTTTTATTGTCCCATACAAAAATATATATGGTTTAGGGGTGGGGATCTCGACCGTTTACAAGTTCTCAAACAGACACGCTGGGGGTGACCCCAGGGGACTCACCTTTTATTTCATTTGATTTGTAACATACAAGAATATATATGGTTTCAGGGTGTTGAGCTTGCACATTTACAAGTTTTCAAAAAAAAGGAGGGTAGCTGTGAACCCGAGGACTATCCCAATATTATATATGGTTTCAGGGTGTTGAGCTTGCACATTTACAAGTTTTCAAAAAAAAGGAGGGTAGCTGTGAACCCGAGGACTATCCCAATATAATGATTTCTTTTATTGTCCCATACAAAAATATATATGGTTTAGGGGTGGGGATCTCGACCGTTTACAAGTTCTCAAACAGACACGCTGGGGGTGACCCCAGGGGACTCACCTTTTATTTCATTTGATTTGTAACATACAAGAATATATATGGTTTCAGGGTGTTGAGCTTGCACATTTACAAGTTTTCAAAAAAAAGGAGGGTAGCTGTGAACCCGAGGACTATCCCAATATTTCATTTGATTTGTTTTATTGTCCCATACAAGAATATATATGGTTTAGGAGTAGGATCTCAACCGTTTACACAGTCAGGGGACTTACTTAAATGAGTGATTTTCTAAATCACTCATTCAAGTAACATTATGTCCATAAAGGTTGGAAGTAACAGTTGTCTTTCTTTAATAATCACCTATTTAAATAGTACAAATTAATCACTAGACTAAGTGATTTAATTTTATTGTAACTTTAAATATAGAATACTAATGATCCAGGGACTAATTATGTTGCTAAAATTATCAGAACCAACATCTGTGTTGATAGGATGACTGGGTCATGTCAGGTGATGACCTTGTACTTAATCTAGGATAATGACATAATAAAATGCTCCGCTGGGGCGCAGCTTGATACGACCCTGAGGTCGAACCCTGAACAGTTGGGGCAAGTATGGACACAACATTCAAGCTTGATACAGCACTGAATTTGGATTGTAATTAAATATTTGACACAGCATAGGTTTCTCACACAGAATGAAAGTGGTCTAAGAACTTAAAAAATTTTAATTTACCTATTCAAACCATATCGTTATTATTTGCTTTTATATATAAATCAGAAATAACCAATTTAAAATGGAAAATTTTAAAGAAAAAAACATACATGTGATGGACTGTGAAACTCAGATCAGGAGATTGGAAAATTTTGGTCAGGAGATTAGGACTCAGATCAGGAGGTTTTTAATCGACATAAAGTTTGTCGTAAATATAACCGTGTGCTGTAAAAATTGTCTTTTAAAGTGTGTTTTCTTCAACTTTCAATCCGAATGTATTATGTATTATGTATTATGTTTATAGTACCCTTGTACTTATAAAGTTTCTTTATCTTTATATTCTACATGTTCAATCTAACATTCTTTTTTTTTAGTATGTTCTTTAAATTTTTCAATTCATATCTTTTATATTATTAGAATATTCTATAGGATAAACATTGCAATCAGATCATTTGTTTACCTATCTGCATTAATTTGCAGTTAGATTTTATTTGAATCATCAGAAACTCATCTAAATTTGTAACAGGGTCATAGTTATAATATGAATTCAATTCAAGCCTTAAAAGAAAGTATAGAACCCTCAAATAATTTTCAAATTATTATTTTTTGATTTGTCCTAAGACATTTAAAATCATTTAATTACCATCCTTTTATGATTATTTGTTCAATCTATATTTTATTTATATTCTTTTAAAAATTTACATTATTTAAAGGAAAGTAACTTAAAGCAGGATAAATCAAGGGAAGTAACCCAATAAATACACAAAGTTTTTATTACACAACGGCAGTTAGCCTGAGGTAAAAATCGTTGATTACCAGTATGTTTGACACCCAAGCTGACAAGTGAAGCCATATAATTATGTATGTTAATTGATTTACAGGTAAAATATAACTTCAGGTGATGTCAGTTACACCAGATGTCTGAGATGATATGTTGGGCAGGATTTTTTTCTCTTCAATGCGAGGTCTGGAGGAGACCCCTGAAAACGGGGATTATTGTACTCCCGTCTGGAGGTTTACATGTATGAAAAAAGGAAAAACAAATCCCCCCAATTTTTTTGAACCCCCTTATGATTCATCACCCCAAACTCAATCCCAGCTTTCCCTTTGTGGTATGGTACCTTGCAGTACAATTTCAGAGAGATCCATACACTTGAACACAAGTTATTGTCTGGAAACTAGAAAAATGCTTGTTTTTTGGCCCCTTTTTGGCCCCAAATTCCTAAACGTTTAGGGCAAATACCCCCAAACTCAAACCCAGCTTTCCATTTGTGATATGGAACCTTGCAGTACAATTTCATAAAGATCCATACACTTACACACAAGTTATTGTCCTGAAACTAGAAAAATGCTTGTTTTTTGCCCTTTTATGGCCCCTAATTACTAAAATTTTGAGGGAATTACCCCCAAATTCAATCCCAGCTTTCCCTTTGTGGTATGGTACCTTGCAGTACAATTTCAGAGAGATCCATACACTTGAACACAAGTTATTGTCTGGAAACTAGAAAAATGCTTGTTTTTTGGCCCCTTTTTGGCCCCAAATTCCTAAACGTTTAGGGCAAATACCCCCAAACTCAAACCCAGCTTTCCATTTGTGATATGGAACCTTGCAGTACAATTTCATAAAGATCCATACACTTACACACAAGTTATTGTCCTGAAACTAGAAAAATGCTTGTTTTTTGCCCTTTTATGGCCCCTAATTACTAAAATTTTGAGGGAATTACCCCCAAATTCAATCCCAGCCTTCCCTTTGTGGTATGGTACCTTGCAGTACAATTTCAAAGAGATCCATACATTTGAACACAAGTTATTGTCTGGAAACTAGAAAAATCCTTAATTTTGGCCCCTTTTTGGCCCCTTATTCCTAAACTTTTCGGGAAATTACCCCCAAACTCAATTCCAGCTTTCCCTTTGTGATATGGAACCTTG